TGTAGAAATTGAGGGTTGAAAGGAGATAGATTCGCCACATTACCCAGAATTAAACTCAGTCTTCATCTTCTAGGAAACAAAGCTTCTTGGATGATTGTGCTAATTATCAAGAGATACTAACATATGATCATAAATTGATCATAATGCTAACAAATCATGCCAAAATTGTTTATAATAATGAAAGGAAAACAGTATGTATTGCAGGCCAAGTTAACCTTTAAGAATGTATCATTTCAGGAAAACATGACAAATGGCCAAAACCCAAAATTGTGTGAAAGATGTGGTCTTGAAAAGACCCACTGACAAGATAAGTGCCCTGTGACTCTAGAAAGAGGGAGGGGGGCAGGCAGGGAAGGCAAAAAATGGCTACTGGATTAGTTTAAATCACTCTGGAAATGTCAACCAGGGCCCAGGTCCTGACTAAGGATTAATTGATCATAACCTGGAAACTGTAACATTTGTGGTCTGAGACTGTATTTCTTTCCCTGTTGGTTAAAAGTTACCTTAACACTGGAAGGTCTAAACTAACTGAGAAATATGAATAAGTGAGCCAATAATTTTTAATATGCTGAACGAGGGTACAACAATAACTATCATTGTAGTAATTTGCATTCTACTTTTCCTATTAATCTGCTTGTCTGCTCCTAATGTACAATATTGTTTATATATGTATACTTTCAATATATTATCATCTGCCTACTTTTTCTCACCCCTTTCCATTCTTGTCAAATATGAGGTTAAGAATCATAGGGTTTAAACCACTATATTGATGTATGATTGATATACAAAAAAGTGTAGCTATACAAATTGATGTGTTTGATGTGTTTGGAGGAAAGTATATACCTGTGAAACCATTGCCACAATCAATGCTATAAACTTACACATCATCTCCAAAAGCTTCCTCCTGCCTCCTCTGTTCTGTTGTGGATATTTGGGTCTATTTTGATCACTGATGTATGCAAGAACCCAAGACAATACTTGTCACATAGTAGATGCTCACAAAATATTTACTGAATGAATAAGTAATTGTCTTTCAATGGTTCTTGCATTTGTAAGTTTTGTTATTAAGGTTTTTGAATCCTTAAGAAAAGCCAACTCATTAGGCTTGTAACTACATTAAAATTTTAATCAGCATCTTGCTGTTTGAGCCTAACACAGGTTGAAGGACATTTCCAAACAGAGGGAAGATGCAAGTGGAGAATGGTTCCATGTGTGTGTATCTGTCACATGCTGTTACAAACCCTCTATGATATGGATGTCTATAAAATTCTACTTCCTGGACTTTTTACCCAGGTGGATTTCAAGAGGGAAACCAAGCTCATCATCCCTGGAGGGTGGGTCCAGGTATTATTTTCTCTCTCTTTGTCTTTCTCTCTCTGTCTTTCTGTCTCTGTCTCTGTCTGTCTGTCTCTCTCTATATATATAATTTTTTCTTTTGCTGGGGAAACTGAAGCTTATGTACAAGTTAGGTGTGACAGAGAGAATATTTTTGGAATCTCTCCAGATGCATCTTTCCTTGTGGATCAACTAGCTTCTCTCTCTGCAACCTGTCCAGTGCTATGGCTTTAGAAAAAGCGACTTACAAAATACCACCTCAGAAAGGACATAAAAAGAGGGTATACAAAGAAGATCTAAAAAGCAATTCCTTACAGGTAATAGGAGGTTTTCCCTTCCATGCTGTTGACTGCTAAGCAAGAAAGGAGAATCAGGGACTCAGGTTTTCAGTATATGCATCCTGCTCAGAAGAGTCCCATTTTCCCCCATTACTGCTTGAAATTCTGGCAAAGGCTCTTTGCCAACATGTGAAGTGATTGAATAACTGGGTCTTGGCAAGTTGCTAAATAGATGAGGCAGAACTTTGACTCCTGGGGGTTCTAAAAATTCCTGTAGGCCTCACTGAGTGGATGTGTTGGTGCTTACAAGACCAGAGAGTTGGCAGAGGCCTGAGGATGCACAAAGAACTGCAGTGGAGAAGGCACTCCAGGGACAAATGGTCAGGACCAGAGTATGTGCCGGGAAAATGTTCAAAAGACCCTTCTAGACCCAGTGACCCATCAGCTCGGAGGGGACCAAACCATTCACTGAGGATCTAGAGGGCTTTGTCATGCCTTGACCTTTGCTGCCATGTGATCACATCAGCCCCCTCCTCCCCATTTTGGAAAGAGCAGAGGAAGAGAGGGGAAGTTAAAAAGAAGAATCCATTTAAAACGAGAAGAGACCAGAATAATAATATTGGCAACTTTAAAAAAGTGTTTTCTATCCCCTGGTACCCAGTGAGGTGATGTTTATGAAGGAGTATTAAACTGTGATAGAAAATAAAGAAGCTGCATATTCTTCATATATGTAGGTAGTATTTGGAGTTTCCAGCCCTGCTACCTGAGGGACGTATTGAAGCCTACCTAGGTGTGAGGGGTGCACCTTCAAACTCCATCTGGATCCTTAGGGCAAGGTTCTCTCCAGGTAGATCCAGTATCTGACGTTCTTGGATGTCAGCAAAACTTTGCTGCCCTACAAACAGTTACTACCTATAAACTGACTTAGCCTTGGAGATTCCCCAAAACAATAGAACTCTGTAAGCACTGGAGCAAAGGTGGCATTCAAGTTGGAGAAAGGGGAAAATCCCATCTGACCTGAGTCCAGGAAAGGGTGTGATACGGGATGCCTGAGGGGCACGTGGGCAGACCACGGAGTGACTGGGGATGGGAAAGTGACCTCTATTAAGCTCATGGTATGGTCTTTTTCTCTGTGTCATTTCCATTATGGACTCAGAGGTTAGATGTTTAAAGCAGAAGAATAGGACTAATTTCCATGGGCTCACACTGAGCAGTGGGTCCTGGGTGGGCCAAAATGTAATGAGGCAGGTTTTGTTTTTTAAAACTCTACTCAATTCCATTAAAGAAAAATTTGGCTCTTTATGTAAGTTTTGTTTTTGTTTTTGTTTTTTTTTTTTTAATGTTCATTTGTGAGAGAAGGTGCAAGCAGAGGAGCAGCAGAGAGAGAGAGAGAAAGAGAGAGGGACACATACGAAGCAGGCTCCAACACAGAGCCCAGTGCGGGCTCAAACTCCCGAACTATGAGATTATGACCTGAGCCGAAGTCAGATGCTCAACTGACTGAGCCACCCAGGTGCACCAAAAGGAATTTGGCTCTTAAAGGTATCACAGCAGTAATTACAGTCAGAATTGGCAGATTCAACAGATGATTTCCATGTATCAGTTAGAGCTAGGGCTCAAAAACCCTCAAATCTACAGAAGTAAACAAAATCTTATGACTGATTAGAGAGCTGAAGGTGATAGAGTAGAAATGAAATAATGAACCCTATTAACAAAAAAATAGACTTTACTGTATTTTAGACAATGCGTTTTGGGACTATTTTTGAAAAAGTAAAAAAGCAACATTGCAATTATCTCAAATATGTGAGAACAATATAAATAAGTATTCCATATAAATTCCAAATAATGCACACAATATAAATATGTGTGAACAATATAAGTATTCCATATAAATTCCAAATAAACAAATAAATAATGCACACAATCCTTCCTGACCCTGAGCTCTTATATCGAGAAGTTTTTGCCTAAATTGTCAAGGTAATTGTCTCAGCTCTCTAGTTTACTTTTACTAGATTTGGAAGCCTCATGAGAGGAAGATGTGGTGCACTGGTATTTCCAGCTATACAAATGCAGTGTTAGTTATGATCATCCTCAGACCAACACGGATGGTTTGGGATATAGAAATATCCTATTGATTCCAACTGACATGCACGGTTTCTCTCAAAATTGCTCATCTATGGAATGAACAGTAGGCGTTTTCATGCACTGTGGAGGAAATGACCTCAGTATAATGACTGAGTAAGGTACCACCTCATGCAGAGGATAGGGATAGACCAGTTGGGTCCAAGTCCAAGGCTCCTCTCACCTGCCCATTCACATTGTTTCAGCAAAAGCTATTGGCAGGACTGAAATAATTTTTAAACCATTAAAATTAAAACTCACCTTTTCCATGTATGTAATCAATCAAAGGGAAAAAAAAGGAGGGGGTTGGGGCTTAGGTGGGAAAGGAAATAGAAATAGGAAAGGGAGAGTTGGGGGAATGATGGTAGGAGGAATAGGAAAATTTAAATTGTTTTACTCCAAGTAATTTCTAACTTCAAGATCAAAATACCATACATACGTAAGGAGATCTCCTCAACCTCACATCAGTAGGATGAACACTCATTTTGATTCAGTTCTCCAGTGCAGGGCTGGGCTGGTGTCTGTACATATGGACTCTCTCTCTCCATTCCCTGTGTGACCTGCAGTGTGCATCCACTGGTCAGAGTGAGGGAGTGGACCTGATTTAGAGAGATGTCCACTGTTCCAAACACAAACTGAACTCCGAGACCTTGGCCTCATTGATTCTGGACTAGCTCACCCCTCATTTCCTAAATTGGATTGCATTAGCCAGCCAACATTTTTCTTAAACATCACCAGGAGAGAAAACATCGCAATTTATTACTGCCAACCTATTTCAGTGTTGGAGTGTTTAACCTAAATCAATAGTGTAATTAATAAATGAATGTAGGTGAGCACTTCTGAGAACAAGGTTGAGAATTTCATTCTTAAAAAAAATAAATTTTTCCCTCCTAATCTCTTCCTGTCCTCATTTGCACATACCTGGTCTTCTGAATAAGTTTATTTCTGGAAGTAGTTAGAGATTTCAAACCGCAAAATCAGAGAGTCTCAGAAGCCAGTGTGCTTTATTTTTTATTTATTTGCCGTATTTCTTAATGTCTTATGCCCTCTGGTGGTAAAATCTGGGAACTTGCTGTGTTATCACTTGAATTCTCTAAAGCAAAACATTTCATTAAAATGAATTTAAAAAGCTTTCATCATAATTAGCTACTTGTTGTAAATACATATATTTTAAGAAACAAAAGAGCTTCAGCATAATTTGAGACTCAGAATAGGAAGTAAGTGTAGAGTACCGAAGATTCTTAGAGTTGGCCAAATTGCCCTCACCTTTCTGGAGAAGGGATTTCAGGCCTTTATCCTGTTCTTCATTTCTCCACCTTCCTCTTTAAAATCGAGAAGAAAACTTCAGAGTTGCACGTTAAGTACTCTTTACATGTGGGCCAACTCTTCTTTACTGTTAAATGACCTCTAATGACTTGGGCAGAAATAGAACTCCTTGATCTATTGCCTAGAACAACATATACATAAAATTAGACTGTAAGACACTCAAGGACCATTGGGGTCCAACCACAAGGAGTTTATTCATAGAAAAAAATACATCACTACCTGGATCATATCCTATGAAAATGTGAGGATATATATAATACATATAATATCTTTCTATGTATATTTTTTACTTTTTCATAAAGCAGAATGTTTTTAACATCTTTATTTTGAGAAGAAAATATCCTCTAATTTTGAGAGAGTTAAGTTGTCCCTTTAAAACAAAATTTTGGGGGCTCAGTCACTTAAGTGTCTGACTTTGGCTCAGGTCACGGTCTCACAGTTCATGAGTTTGAATCCTGCATCAGGCTCTGTACTGACAGCTGGAAGGCTGAAGCGTGCTTCGTATTCTGTGTCTTCCTCTCTCTCTACTCCTCCCCTGCTTCTGCTGTCTCTCTTGCTCTCAAAAATAAAAGCAAAATTTTGTAACCACAGATGGAAGGGGTTTGAAATGGCTTTTCTTTCTTTTTAATATACATTTTTTCAATTTTTCTTTTGAAATCGTTCCAGATTAACAAAAAAGTTGCAACGATGGTATAAAATACAATATAAAATTTCTATAACCTTTTATTCAGCTTCCCTAAATATTAACACTTTATTTAAATACAGCACAGTTTTCAAAATTAAGAAATTAATGTCATTGCAAAAGGCAAGAACTGCAACTTTACCAATGTCAATGCCTTGAGGTTGTCTGTGTGCACCTTCCCAGTGCTCCTACCTTCCTCCTCTTTCTGAGGAATATGCTGACTTGATTATCATTTTCTGGCTATTTATTTTTGCTTTTCCTGCATATACATATATTGTTTAGTAATAAGTAATTCAGATTTGTTCTTGGGTGAGATAAAAATGCTATTATACTGTGTGTGGCCCTCAGAGAGTTGTGGTTTTCGTTTAACATTATACACCTATGAGTCATCTGTCCTAAAGTATGCAACTGTATTTCCCTCATATATAAATTCTATGGTGTGATTTGACAAAAGATGATTTATCTGTTTTCTCTTGATAGATATTTGGGTTGCTTTTGTTCATTTTTGTTTTATTGCAACTAAAAACCATGCAGGATCATTCTTACATAGTTCAACATCAGGAATGCAATATTTTGGGTAAGCACTTAAATAGACCATAATACCATGTTAAGATTTGCGGGGGGGGGGAAGCTGATAGGTTAATAAATTAATGCTTTCGCCAAAAGAGAAAAATTCCTAGTGAAATTCCTTACATTGACTAGATGAGAGGAGGAAAACAAAAAAAGTCCATACCTCATTCTCCTCCTGTTTGTCTACTGTGGCAGCTGTATCGTTAATTATAGGGATCTGAGTGGGAGGCTGACGAAGACTGACTGATGGGTAATAGCACCAGAATGGACCGGCAAGCCACGTAGACTTAAGAGAGCGAGCCTCACTGCACTTTACAGACTTCATACACACAGAAGACGGTTCAAGATTTTTGGCTATAAAATTCAGAAACTCTCAGTTCTTTTCCACCTTCCAGTTTGCTTCCAGTGTGCAACCAGTGTGATCTTCCAGAAATGAAAATAGTTAAATGTCATCCCCCATCTTTAAATCTTTCAGTGGACTCACTTTGGGGTCTGAATAAAGGCAGACCTTCACGCGGCCCCTACTTCAGTCTCCAGGCATAGTTCCGTGCCATGATTTCCCACACTGACACTCTAGCCATTGTGAATACCTGCAGTACTTGGCCCCCTGCATCCCATTCAGACGGCATCTTCTCCAGGAGGCCTATCTGAATCCCTGCCACAAATACCCCTTGCATGCCTTCTGGATGGACTTGTTCTAACCTTTTTCATGTTCCATTTTATCACTGAATTGTCATTAAACTCTTGAGGATACAGGCTAATTTTAGATTCTAGATCCTAGTGCCATGCCTTACATAGTAGGTACTTCATACGTTTGTTGACTGACTGAATGGATATTATTTTCTTACCTTTTTTGATTCCATTGCATACTCTTATCTCTTCCATAGAATATTTTCTTCCTGCATGGGAAGTGAGTTTCCTATATCCTCAGGATTGTCACCATCATGAGCCATGGATGGTCATAAACTTTCAAACTTCCAAGAGAAACCTCAAATCAGTGATCAGAGATTATTTAAGAAAATAATCAACTGACCTATTTCTTCCACTTTCCTTTCTGTATGGGAATGATTTGAAGCTGTCATTGGAATGAACAATTCCTGGCCTTTTATAAACTGCAAACCCAAAAATGTTCTTTGAAAGCTGATCATGCCATTTCTGTCAAAACCCTGGTCCAACACTGACAACTGATAATTTACAAGTATCAGATGTATTCTCTGAACTGTTTGTTTTTTTGGCAGTGGTAAGAGCTAGTTTGTATTGAGCTCCATCTATGTGTTAGAAACACTTCTGAATACATGGCATATGGATTACTTTATGCAGCAGACTTAATTTTCACCATTTTACAGATGAAGAAGCTGAGGCATACAGAGGTTAAGTAACTTTCCCATAGTAATAAAAGGAATGGAGATTAGATTTTCAGGGGGGCCAAATCCAGAGTTTATATTCTAAAATCGCAAAAGACCACTTTCTTCATCAATACTTCATCCTACCATACCTCCTGGACTGTGTAGTATTTTGTATGCCATGTGCATGTCTATTATTATCCTCCCAATAAGGTCCTAAGATCTTTCTTTAAAGGGAATGTCTTATCTCTTTAGCCTCCACAATATAGAGTATAGTGCTAGACACGTTTCATAAATACATGCTCAGTTGCTTTGCAAAGTTTAAATTCTCCCCTAGTATTAGGAAACTATATATAGGGTTTTAATAAGTTAAAATAAAGTAGCATATTTTTAAAATCTCTAAATTTGATCTAAGAAATGAATTTTTTTTTTTTTTTTATAATACAGTAGGAACTCAAGAAGGGGAGGAGATCCTCATGACATCACCCATCAACTGTCTCTCTTCTCTATCAGGCCTCTACATGGGTGTAATGGTGTTCTGATGATATTAATGAAACTGAGTGACTTTTGACCTATTTGCTTTGTATCAGCTGATTAATAAGCATTAATTTAACTCCTTATCTTTCATAGCTTCCTCTCCTGAGGGCAACGGCTGTTCTCTGAAGGAGAAGGAAACTTGGTGTTATTGTATGAAGGTATAACTGAATTCTTCTTTACCCCAAGGTCACCCCCAACTAAGCTTGTGTACTCCAACTCTCCTGTAATGATGTGTGCCTTTGTCACCTGGAATGCCACCCAATGCCTGAGAGGCTAAAATATTCCCTGATGCCACAGTGAATGGGGTTTGGGGATGGCATTGTGGTACCAACCATCAACTCCAAGAAAATAATAAACTTTTCATTACCTAGACCCTCTTTTCTTCATGCAGAAAGACCCAGCAGGCTACCAAACTTGCCTGTACATGTCTGAATTTATTGAATGTTATGTTTATAAAATCTGGTAATTCCATTATTCTCTCAAACCAATGTCAAACTCAAGAAAGCAAAAGGAAAATTAATTGCACATATTAAATTACTGCCTCAAAGCTTCTATAGTATAAGACTAAGTCTTGCCAGAACTTTTGCCACATTATTTTTTTTACTAATAAGTACTACTTCTAATCATTTTGGATTACAAAAATAATACATGCTTGTGGTCAAACTATTGGAAAAAATATTTTTTTAAGTGTTTACTAATTCATAATCTCTTCACCCAAAGATACTCACTGTTAATATTTTGGTATATTTTCTTTTTCTAGATAGTTGGATAGACACATTGTAAGATAGAAGCATAACTGCCAAATATCTATAGATAAAGATATAAATTTCCACTGACTTAACCTTATTTCATGGACATTTGTAGATCATCTAAGATTCTTCATTGACCTTTTTAAAAAGGCTTCAAAATGTCTATTGATAACTACATAATGTTCTATTTAATGATTTGACGTTGCTGGATATTTTGATGCTTTCACTGAATTGAACACCAGCTTGTGCTTCCAAATCTTGTCTGAATAAGAGAGGAAAGTCGATCATGAGCTACATAAACACAGAGGGAGATTTTCTAAAGGAATGAAGCAACCTTCATCTGCCCAATGAAATCCTGGAATTAAAACATAAAGGAAAAGAAGTTCCTGTTTTGTAAAAGGCCCCAGAACTCGGATGCTTATCTGGATTTATCAAAGTGATTCAAGTCCAGTGGAGCTCTGTTCACGTCTAAAATCCCTCACTGCTGTGCAAGGGTAGGAAACTGACAAAAACACATCTTTATCAGATTTACAGCAACTTCATTTTCTTAGGCTGAGTTGCAGATATCACAAATACAACCTTCCACACAGTGCTTTGGCTGCTCCTGGTGGTTACCAGCTGGTGGGGGTACATCAGGGAACAAAAATCGGAGACAAAATTATGAGACATTCTCTGAACCTTAGAATAGGCACAGCCATATTACCTCTACTTATGCAAATAGTCTACCTTTTCTGTTGCTGTGTGAAGTAAACACCTGCTCTGAGATATATTTATCCAGAAAAATACTGGTGACTAATTTGTCACCTGAAAGATCACAGCTGAAAGGAATGAGATTAGTCCTAAAAGAAATTAGGTTGAGGGATGTAGCAAGAAAAACCAAAAAACTTCACTTTAGTGTTCAGTATAATGAAGTATACAAGACTTTCAGAGCACGGAAGTGCAAATTAAAATATATGCTATGTTATTATACCTATTAAACTGAAAAGGATTAAAACCAATGGGGAGCAATGGAAACTCTCACACAGTGCGGAAAAGCACAGGGCAGTTATGTACTCTCTCATAAAGCTGAAAGTATATATGCTCTTAAATGGAGCTTAGTGAAAGCCAGAAAAAATTTAAGGTGTTTTTTTGTCTTTTTTTTTTACAAATAGTTTATTGTCAAATTAGTTTCCACATAACACTCAGTGCTCATCCCCACGAGTGTCCTCCTCCATGCCCATCCCCCCTCCCCCCAGTCCTCAGTTTTTGTCAGCATTCAAGAGTCTCTCATGGTTTGCCTCTCTCCCTTTCCCCCACCATTTCCGCCCTTCTTCTCCCCCTTGTTCCTCCGTCAAGTTCCTCCTAATCCTCCTATACGTGCAAACTGCCTGACTTATTTCGCTCAGCATAACACCCTCAAGGTCCTGTCTTTTTTTTTTTTTTTAAATGTAATGAGATGTAAAAACATTCAGGGTCAAATGTCTTGCATCCTCACTGAGGCTCAGGAGAAAGATTCTGGCATGCTGGTGTGCAAGGGCTGAGCAGAGGAAGCATCTTTCTCAGGCACAGGTAATGCAAAGCGCATTGTCTATAGAGACTATAAAAACAGAAATATAACCAACTAAAAGTCATTCTACTTTCTTATCATCACTTTGTGCCACCATTTCTAAACAATATTCCTCCCTGAATGAAAGTCTTTTTAAGTTTCTTATGATTAGTGTGGTAATTGTATATTTTTGAACTACCTCATCCTTTCAATATCATTGTTTTCTATGGAAGTTAATTCAGAGAACTTTTGGTGATTCAGTCAATCTCTAATACTCACGGAGTCGGCTACATAGTACCTCAGGGGATAATGGAATTGAAGGGAAATTTTCTAAAACAGTGTATTATACCAAACTGTTAGATAAAGGGAAGGAGTCAGTAGAATGGGAGGGATCAAAGAGAAGTCATGGTATATAATTCATCAAAGTCTGTAGGCTTTTGTAGTTGTGGCTCCCTTTGACTCTGGGCCTCACCATGACTTTGCTTGCCTACTGGGACAATAACACACGTGAGGCAAAGAGACATGTCAAGTGCTTGTACACAGAGGCTCACTCCCTTTTGGCCCTTGGGGGTGTTCCTGCAATCACTAACATGTGAATAGTCCCTGGATGTTCTAGATGATGAGTGACACATGGCCTGGCCACTTTTGTTACCCAACTGACATCAGGCTGATTTCCAGACATGTGAATAAGACTATTCTAGACCACTAAGTCCCAGGCAAGCCTCCACCTGGTCATGTGAGTGAGTACAGCTATAATTAGCCACATTGGCTCATGTGAGCAGAAACATCCAGCTTACCTTTAGACTTGTGAGGAACGCTGTATGATGTCTTAAGCCACCAAGTTTTGAGGTGATTTGTGACACAGCAGATACAAAGTCCTTGAATAGATGAGTAAGGATGCCATAGAAGACAGAGGTAGAAGAGACAGACTAATTTTGGATATGAGATAATATATATCTATGTTCAAATCCCACCTCCCACCCAAACACAAACACTTCTCCCTTATTTCCCATCAGGGTGAGGGAAAGAATGTTGGCTCTGAGCTGCAGTTGCCTAAATTTAAATCCTGGCTTTGTTCTTTACTGGCTGGGTGATGTTGGGCACACATCTTATTCATCTGTAAAATAGATGATAGTATTTACCTCACAAAATTGTTGAAAAGATTAAGTCATATTACATATCATAATATCATATGGATCATAATAAATGTTTTACATGTTAGCTAAATGGGTACCTGGGTGAAGATACAGCATAAATTTGACATGAAATGATAGGAAAGGTTGAGAAAGTATGTATCAGGTAACATCAAAATTTTTAAGACTGGGGAATTGAAGATACCTTCAGAAGGTAAAAGGTAGAATAATAAGATTCTGAGGATAAAGAAAATGAATGGTGGCCAAAATTTTAAGAAGGTGATTATGGAAGAATTTAAAAAATGGTTGAGTAGCAGTGACAGTCTAATCAGAGTTAAAAAGAACAAATGCATGGAAGACACACTCGGCACAGTCCTGATTTTCTACAACAGTGCTCAGTATCTCGGGAGTAGAATGGGGGAGAGCAAGTAATGTGATCGTTGAGTGGCAGATTAAGAAAGAAATGGGATCATGGGAGCTAATACTAGAAATACTTGGCCATATAGCCTGAGTTGACCTGGAAGCAAGAGAGAGATCATAAGGGAACTAAGAGAACAGAATGGGGTCAAAGGGCAAAGAGTAGGAGTCATATAGACCTCCTTGAAAGTTGGAAGCTGCAGGGTGTCTGGGTGGCATTGTGAGCACAAGGCCTGACTCAGGGCTTGAACCCACGAATCATGAGATCATGACCTGAGCTGAAACCAAGAGTCAGACACTTAACTGACTGAGCCACCCAGGTGCCCCAGAATCATTATGTTTTAAAACTAGGAAAGGTTTCAGAGAATACCTAATCCAATTTTCTCATTTTGCTGATGAGAAAATTGAAACCTAGAGACATTTAATGACAGAGCCAAATGACTAGGATCCTGCCTGCCTTTGTCATTATTTGGTATTTTTCTACTATGTTATATGTATGTCCAAAGAGGAAGTAAGTTTCCTCAGGACAAGGACGTCTTTGAATCTGTAGCATTTGCATGTTGGGATTCTCAGTAAATTCTCTCCCACAGTGACAAGATGCTTTACCAAACTACATTAGACAGCAGGAAGAGAAATAAATCCTTGTGTAACAGATTTTACAATTTAAAAATAATTGTTTTTCAAACTCTTAGATGTATCAAGTTTTTTAAACAAAAGTATTTGAAAGGTTTTGTTTGTTATATAAGATTTAAGTGTTTCCATCTTTTTAAAAAATTTTATTTAAATACAGGTTACTTAACAGTATAGTATTGGTTTCAAGAGTAGAACCCAGTGATTCATCACTTACATATGACACCCAGTCCTCATCCCAAGTGTCCTCCTTAATGCCCATCACCTATTTAGCCCATCCCCCCACCCAGCACCTCTCTAGCAACCCTTAGTCTGTTATCTGTGTTTAAGAATTTCTTACGGTTTGCTTCCCTCTCTGTTTTTATCTTATGTTTTTTCTTCTTTTCCCCTATACTTATCTGTTTCATTTCTTAAATTACACATATGAATGAAATTATGATATTTATCTTTGACATTTCGCTTAGCATAATACATTCTAGTTCTTCCATCTTTGTTATTACAAGCAAAAGGAAGTTAATCAGCCTTAGCTTTGTTCCTTTAATTTACTGCTAGGGGTGGTCTTCTTTAGGATGTGCATGGACCAGTTCTACCCAGTATAGGTTACAGATACTTGTTTGAATCCCAGCAGAGGAAACTTCTCCCATCTGACCCTTTTGCCAGTTATCCAGAAGAAGCGTACCTTTGTGGTTGCTGATTTTTTTTTTTAAATGTTTTATTTATTTCTAGGAGAGAGAGAGAAACAGCGTGAGCAGGGGAGGGTCAGAGAGAGAGAGGGAGTGACAGACTCTGAAACAGGCTCCAGGCTCTGAGCTGGCTGTCAGCACAGAGCCCGACGCGGGGCTCGAACCCACGAACCACGAGATCATGACCTAAGCGAAAGTCGGACGCTTAACCGACTAAGCCACCCAGGCGCCCCTGTGGTTGCTGATTTTTAATTTTATTGTGGAAAAAAGAGCATCAAAGAGCCAATTTAATAAGCAAAAATCTTTTATGCAATGCAACTTAATTTGATAATATGGATTGAAAATGAAAAAACAAAAGCAAATATAAAAATATAAATTGGGAGCTAAACAAATATTACTAGAAATTACTAATTTCTTCAGTTTTGAATTTTACACACAAAAAATCAATCTATTACCCAAGATTATTCATTGCCTATAATATGTGACTTGTCATTCATGACCTTGAACAACCTCTCTGAACCCATTTGAAAACTGACTACGGAGCCTGCTCTTTTCATTCCAAGTCCACCTGTGAACCTGTTAAGAAGACATTTCCCAGCATAGTTTAATCAAAGCTCACTGTGAACACTATCACAATTTAATCAACACCCAAAGCTCACTGTGAACACTATCACAATTTAATCAACACTCTATGTGCTCATTTCAAAATGGTGGCTCTGAAATCTCAGGGCAAGCTTGTGAGTGTCCTGAAATAGAGAAACTCTTCTAGTAATTCTTCCCCTGAGCTTAGTTGGGGCAGTCCAGTCATCTAGCCCTCCTTCCTACTCTCCACCTTCCTCCTTCCCCTTCCTCCCTCACAACAGAGAAATGACAGCCCCCACCCACTTGCAGTCAGTTCTCCTAATTCCACCCACAGCAATCCAAAACATAAAACACATGTGTTTGTTTAAATATGTAAGTTACAGACAGCATTTTCACAGAAAAATATTCTCACCCTTTTGGTGCTAGTCCTCTGTGTATTTTTCTTCCAGACTTCTTCTTCCCCACATGACTACAGTTTTTGCTGGCATTTCTCTGAAAGTATATTCAAGACCTTGTTAAGAGTCAGAAGAGCTCCCTGAGTTTGCAGGCAGCTTCCTGTGGGGCTGACGTTTTGCAGAATGCAAGCCTGGTGTGCAGAAGGTGGGCAAGGTGTTTGAAAAAACAGGAAGCACCTGTAAATGTGTGACTTTATTCCTGGAAGCAGAAGACTCCCTCTGAAATGGTGGTAGATGCTTCTTGCTGTTTCACCTATGAGCACTTTTGCTAAGCCTTTAAGTACTTTGAAGACTAAGAATGAGCTTCCAAATGGCAAGATTATTTACAAAGCCTGGTGTATCCATGGGCATGGTGGAAATCCATAGCTTTTTAATTTTTTTTCCTATGCAGCTTTCTCTTTTTGCTGGGAATATTGATTATTGATATGCATGGAAATTCAAGTAGGCTTTTAAAAATTATTGTGGTAAAACATAATATCGGCCTCAACACATTTTTAAATGTAGTATATAGTATTGTTAACTATAACAGGATGGCGAATAGTAGATCTCTAGAACTGTTTCATTTTGTGTGACTGAAACTTTAGGCCCATTTAACAGCAACTCCCAGTGTCCTCTCACCAGCCCCCCAGCAACCAGCATTGTACTTTCTGCTTCAATGAGTTTGACTGTTGTAGATAATGCATTTAAGTGGAATCATGAAATGTTTGTCCTTCTGTGACTGGCTTATTTCACTTAGTATAATGTCTTCACTGTTCATCCATATAGTAGCATATGACAGGATTTCTTTCTTTTTTATGGCTAATATTCCATTATGCATATATATACTACATTTTCTTTACCCATTTATCTGTCAGTGCACAGATGAATGTTCATTGGGTTGTTTCCACCTCTTGGCTATCGTGAATAATGCTGCAATAAACATGGAAGTGTGAATATCTCTTCGAGATACTGATTCCATTTCATTTGGATGTGTACTCAGAAGTAGAATTGCCTGGATCAGATGGTAGTTCTATTTTTAATTTTATGAGGATCCTCCATGTTGTTTTCCATAGCAGATGCACCATTTTGCATGCCCACTGACAGTGCACAAGGGCTCCAATTCCTTCATAGCCTCACCAACACTTCTTATTTTCTGGTGTGTTGTTGTTGTTTTGATAATGGCTATCTTTATCATTTTAGGCTGCTATGACAAAAATATCACAGACTAGATGACTTAAACAACAAACATTTATTTCTCACAGTTCTGGAGGCCTAGATGTCCCAGACAAAGACACTGGCAGATTTGTAGTCTGGTGAGAGTCCACTTCTTGATTCATACAAAGTTGCCACTGTGGTCTCATAGGGCAGAGAAAGAGAGCTCTGGGCTCCACATCTCCTTATAAGAGCACCAATCCTATCATGGGGGCTCTACTTCTATGACCTCATCCAAACCTAATTCCCAGAGACCCTGACTTCAAATAGCATCACAACAAAGATTAGGCTTCAACATATGAATCGAGGGGGCGGGGGGTGGGGGGGACACAAACATTTAGTTTATAGCAGTGGCCATCTTAATAGCTGTGGTGATATTTTATTATGGTTTTGATTTGCATCTCCTTAATAATTAGTGATGTTGAACATCTTTTCATATACCTGTTGGCATTTATGTGCTTCATTTTTTTTGAGAAGTTCAAGTCCTTTGCATAGTTTTTAATCAGGTTATTGAGTTTTTTGTTTTGCTATTCGGTTGTAGGATTTCCTTTATAGATGTTGGAGATTAACTACTTCTCAGATACACGGTTGGCAAATATTTTCTCCCATTTTATAGATTGCCTGTTCACTCTATTGACTATTTTGCTGTGCAAAAGATTTTTAGTTTGATGTAATCCCACTTCTCTATTTTTGCTTTCGTTGTTTTTCATGTTATATCCAAGAAATCATTGCCAAGACCAAGGGCATGAAGCTTTCCCTGTGTATTTTCTTCTAGGAGTTTTACAGTTTCAGGTCTAATGCTTAAGTCCTTAATTTATTTTGAGTTGATTTTTGTGTATGGTGTAAGACGGTGGTCCAGTTTCACTCTCTTGTATGTGACTGTCCAATTTTCTCAACATCATTTGTTAAGGAGACTATCCTTCTCCATTGTGTATTCTTGGGCATTCTTGTTGAGATTCAGTTGACCATATGCATGGGTTTATTTTGAGGCTCTCTCTTCTGTTCTCTTGTTCCCTGTGTCTGTCTTTATGCCAGGACCATTCTTTTTTGACTACCATAGCTTTATAATATGTTTTGAAATCAGAAAGTGTGATGCAATCTCTGTTCCTTTTAAAAATTGTTTTGACTATTTAGTATATGTGCTGCCGAAGCGAGCACTGTTTTGACTATTTAGGTTCATTTGTGGTCCCATATCAATTTCAGCAGTGTTTTTTCTGTATCTGTAAAATGTGCCACTGGGATTTTAATAGAGTTTGCATTCAATGTGTAGGTTGCTTTGAGTAGCACAGCCATTTTATCGATGTCTTCCAATGCATGAACACAGGATGTTTTGCCATTAATTTGTGTCTTTTAATTTTTTTTCAGCAGTATTTTTTATAGTTGTCAGTGTATAAGTCCTTGAAGTATTTTATTTATTTATTGTAAATGGGATTTTCTTAATTTCTTTTGCAGATTGCTCATTATTAGTATGTAAAACACAATGGATTTTTGTATGTTAATTTTTTTATCCTGTAACTTTGCCGAATTTGTTTATTCTACCAGGGTGGGGTTTTTTTTTTTTTTTGGTGCAGTTTTTAGCGTTTTCTACATATAAGATCATGTCATATACAGAGATAATTTTACTACGTTCTAATTTAAATGTGTTTCATTTCTTTTTCTAGCCTAATTGTTTTGTCTAGGCCTTTCAATACTATGTTGGGAGAAATGGCAGAAGTGGGCATCCTTGCCTTCAACTTGATCTTGCAAAAATGCTTTCAAGTTTTTACTTGTGGATATGATGTTATCTATGGACTGCTTATACATGATACTTTTATGTTGAAGTAATTTCATGCTATTTGCAGTTTTTAAAATGTTTTTATCATGAAAAGGTGTTGAATATACAAAATGATTTTTGCATCTATTGAGACATCTTGTTTTTTTGAACTTTTGTCCTGTTAACGTGGTGTATCACATTGATTGGTTTTTGTATGTTGAGCCATACTTGCATCCCAGGAAGTCATGGGTACATGACTTGGTCATGGTACATGATTCTTTTTAAGTGCTGTTGAATTTGATTTGCTAGTATTTTGCTGAAGATTTTTGCATCTATATTCATTAGGGACATTGGTCTGTAGTTTCCATAGTGTCTTCTGTCTTTGGTATCAGAGTAATGCTGGCCTTATAAAATTAGGTTGAAAACATTCCTCCCTCTTCAGTTTTTTGAAAGACTCTGACAAGGATTGATATTAATCTGCAAATGTTAGGGAGAGTTCACCAGTGAACCCATCTGGTCCTGGGGTTTTTCTTTTTTAGAAGGTTTTGAATTACTGATTCAATCTCTTTACTAGTTGTAGATCTGTTTATTTTTTAGATTTTTTATTTATTTATGATGCAGTCTTAATAGGTTATACATCTAGACATTTATCCATTTCTTCTCAGCTATCCAAATTTTTGGCATATAATTATTCATAGTAGTCTCTTATAAATCTTTTTTATTTTGATGGCATCACTTGTAATGTCTTCTTTCATGTCTGATTTATTTGTCTTCTCTCTCTTATTTGTAGTTAGTTTAGCTAAAGGCTTGTCAATTTTGTTGATCTTTTTAAAAAGTCAACTCTTAGTTTTGTTTCATTTTTTCTGTTTTCTATTTCATTTGTTTCTGCCCTAATCTTTATTATTCCTTCTGCTAACTTTAGGCTTATTGTGCTCTTCTTTTTCTAGTTCTTTGAACTGTATAGTTAGGTTGCTTATTTGAAACGTTTTTTGGTAATGTAAGTATCACTGTGAAATTTCCTCTCAGTACTCTTTTGATGCATCCCATAAGTTTTGGTATGTTGTGTTTTATTTTTCATTTGTCTCAAGATACTTTCTAATTTCCTTTTAGACTTCTTCTTTGACCCATTGATTATTCAAAAGTATGTTATTTAATTTTCACATATTTATGACTTTTTGTCCCGTGTTCCTACTGTTATTGATTCCATTTCATTCCACTGTGGTTGGAAAAGATGCTTCGTATAATTTCAGCCTTTTTAAAATTGTTTAGACTTGTTTGATGAACTAGCATGTGAACTATCCTGGAGTATGTTGCATTCTTGGAATGTATATTTTGCTGCTTCTGAGTAAAGCATTCTATGTATGTTTATTAGGCCCATTTGGTCTATAATGTTCATGTACTCTGTTTCCTTATTGACCTTCTATCTGGATTTCTATCCATTATTGAAAGTGGAGCATTGAAATCTCCCATTATTGTGCTGCTATTTCTCCCTTCAGTTCGGTCAATATTTGCTTTATATATTTAGGTGCTTTTATGTTGGGTGTGTATATATTGATAATTGTTACGTCTTCCTGGTGATTTGATGTATTTTGTATATTTGTCTTTTGTGACAGTTTTTGATAATATATTTTGTCTGACCATCTCTTTTCTGGTTAATATTTGCATGGGATACCTTTTTCTACCCTTTACTATTAGCCTATGTGTGTTCTTAAATCTAAAGTGAGTCTCTTGCAGATAGCATATAGTTTTGCCTTTTTAAAAAACATCCATTCAGCTACTCTATTAGTGTGTTTGTATTATATATGTGTATATATATACACATATATGTATATTTTTGATAATCCCATATATATATATATACACACACATATATGTATAATGTTTATTTATTTTTGATAATCCCAAAATGTCAGGCTTGATCTCACAGATTGTGAGATCATGACCTGAGCTGAAACCAAGAGTCGAATGCTTAATCATCTGAGCCACCCAGGGGCCCCACACTTCTGTCTTTTGATTGGGAAGTTTAATTCATTTATATTTCAAGTAACTGCTGATAGGAAGAACTTATTACTGATTAAAGTTGAAATAAAAAAATATTTTCTGTCTATCTTACAGTTTCTGGTTAAGGGATATGATAGGCTC